GAAGGAAGGAAGGAAGGAAGGAAGGAAGGAAGGAAGGAAGGAAGGAAGGAAGGAAGGAAGGAAGAAATATTTTGTAGACTGCCTGGAGCATTCATTTTGCATTTTTGTGGGTTTTCTGTTGATATGGACCTTGATCAAGGACACTCTGTAACTCCTTCTCTACAATGCTGAATGCATGCATTTTGAGGTTCAAAGTTTAAAAGGGGAGTTATATTTTCTCTCTTCTTTTTAAAAAAGTTTTATTTTGTTTATGTCTGGTGAGATTGGTCTAACTCCTAAGAAGGGGGAAAAAGCCAAAAACTTTTAGTCACATTACTCTACAGTAGCCTTATTGAAACTATTTCCATTTTTTAAAAATTTTTGATCTTTTAATCTCCAGAGAGGCAACATAGGTTGTGAGAACCCTCTCTCTCACACACACCAGGGTGAGAGAGTGAATGCTAGGTGAGGGGCCTCCTGGTAGATGGAGGCAGCAGGAACTACCAAGCTGCTAATCCAAAGCAGGAGGTGGAACCAGGTGTGAAAACCCAGAAAACATATAGGAGATATTTGAAGCCCCCAGCTTTCCACCATATGGGCTTAGCCATTGTACAACAGTGACAAATAAATAAATTCCTTGAATGTTGCCAACCTACCAAATCATTTTTCATTATTTTTACAAGACGCTTGACTTGGTCTGATAAATCCCTAGAAAAAAATGAGAAAAAATGAATCAAGATGATAGAGAACTGATGCTTGAAAACATACCTAAAAAGAAAACCCTTTTAAGAAGCAACAGTAAAATCAGAAATAGATATTCCACTGTGGATCCCCCAGTAAAACATTGTGAACAAGGCTAGAATAATTGCACAATAAAAGCATTGTCTGGAAGTCCCCCCAGGGGAGCATTTTAATATAGGACCATCCTATATTGCTTTTGTTTACATTGGGATAAGCAAAATAGTTCAGAGAAAAAAGGCAATGATTCATCAGCGAAAGTGGCTGATGACTCATGTCTAACAACCAGGGAGCTTCAGAATCCATCCAACATGATCAGCCCCTGTAGAAATATGTGCTGTGAATATCTGAGCAAGCTTCTGTTATTTTCAAGGTAAAGTGCAAAGTCAGATGGTATTTTGCTTTCAGTTGTGCATAAAATATTAACAGTATTAGAAATGATTGTGTTTTCTGGGGGAGGGAGGGAGGGAGGAAAGGCAGGCAGGCAGGCAGGCAGGCAGGCAGGCAGGCAGGCAGGCAGGCAG